TTTTCTTTAGAAGATCTTACGTTAAATGTTTATACTTCGAAGTACAAAGTCTGTTATTGTTGTACATTTGAACTTAATAAAAGACGAATATAAAATGGCGCACATAAAAAYCACATGGTCGTTAAAAAGCTAATTAAGAATAACAGCTATCATTAGTAAACACTAGAATCACTATATTCACCACTAGGGACTTCTAGATAAGATGGATTTAGATTTAAAAATAAACACAAGTCCTTATGAATTTGCATTTTCAACTAGAACAACAAAACCGCGTGGTGAACAAAATTCTATAAAATATTCATCAACATCTTCTCCATAACAAGCCAATAATAACGCCAATTTTAGAATAATACTGAACACCACAAAGAAGGCTATACTAAACACATTATRTAGAACTAAGAGAGCAACAGAAAGAGTGATTTTTGTTGTTTTAAACGCGACACGTATCAACGCAATACAATATACTGTATTTTACCTTTCTTCGGCAACCCTCTCAGACCAGTTCTAGGTTTTCTATCGAGCTGCTTTTCCCTTCCTTGCTTCACCATGTGTTCATTATTAGCTTTTCCATTGATTCCCACTTTATTTTCTCGTTTATAGGTGGGAATATGGTCGTTATTTTGAGTCTCGCCAACGTCCGAGGTGGATTTACTGCGTACTCTCATCTTCTTGGTTGAAGCTGTTGGAACTGTGTCCATGGTGCAAGGAGAAGCAAACTGGTCGTCCAACTTTCACAAATACTACAAACACCTTAMCATTAAAGTGCTCTGGGTGTTATGAGCCTTCCAAAACCAAGGGAAAACGGCGAAAAACGTTCAAATATCCAGGTATTTTCTCCCAGTTCACGTTATTTCAGCTTTGTAAAGATTCTAGACGATGTTTGTGTTCTGCAGGACCACGGGTCATGTGATGTCAATACTTGATWRTGATTGGACGACAYACACAATGATGGGATACCTTTGGTTTGGGAAGACGTGCGAGATGGCAGACATGGTCACGTGACCCCAGATTTAGCTAAAGGCACATATATAGACAGTGTCACATATATATTAATCAAACTCATTGTAATTCATGAGGAAAACACAACAGAAATCACGACCGTGAAGAGTGTTGTAAATCTGATACAAAACTGTGTTCATTTGCATAAACTTTAAGTTGGATTTTCTTGGCCAAATTTACTTTAATTTTGAAAATTTTAGTGAAACACAAAGGAACTAACCTAGACGTTTGATAAGTCATATACAGTATTTGTGTCCGTGTTGTATCCGTTATACATTCACTCGGCTACGCCTCGTGGTTGTATGGCTGATATAACACGGCCACTCATACTGTATATATTACATACATATATGTACATACATATATATGCATGTAACTAAGCTCGAAGTTAGGTTTGCTAGCTCAGGCCGATATTCTCCTATCATAAACAGACAGACAGACGGACAAGGTGGGGTCAGGGAAAACGTGTTATATTGTGGATCTCCACTGACAGTGGGGTCAATCCAATGACGTGTATCCTGAAATGCTCGTGTGCTTGGAAGCTTAGAGGTTAAGTGGTCAAAACATAATACCTGTATATCTGTGACTGACTGTAACAAACTACCCGATCTGTTACATTTACTTTCCAGGAAGTGATAGTCGTGTCCAGGCAGGGTACCAGTGCTCTGGACAATCACGC